CGTCGACAGACTGAATATTTATTGAACAAAGCTGCAGTTATATTATTAATAATGAACTTGTAATGTTTAATGAACAAACCTGCTCTGTGTAACCGAAGCTGAGGGTTGAAAACAGCGTCCAGTAGTTTCCGTTGTCGCTCGTTCTCCTCTTTTGATCGACAAAGTTCCTCCTCGTACTCTGCTATCGTTCTTTCAAACAGCCCAAATATATCTTCAGCAGCCGCAGTTAGTCGCTGCTTCACCAACGATCTCAGCATTTGGACTTTAGACATGTTCACACTTTAAAAACACAACAAAGTCACTCTGCTAACACTTGGTTCCGCGAGATGCCATCTTTGTTCAAACAGTGTGAAGTTAGCGGTAGTAAAGAATGCAACTTCCGGGTCAGAGGAGTTGCTGAGCTTCAAAATAAAAGTCCAGAACTGTTCCTGGAATTTACAGGCTTTCATAGAAAAACGCAAACAGGAAGATAAATGATTACAATACACCTTCTCAAGAATGATATCCAAAAAACTTGAAGGTTTATTCTTGAACTTAGAAACAAAAGCTTCAAAACATTTCTCAAAACAATTTTCAGGTGCATTACCGCCACCTACTGGACTGGAGTGTGGAGCAGTAGATTGGCAAAAAACAAAACAAAAACAAAAAATAAAAGACTAAATTCTCTCTGTACCTGCTACTCTTAAATAATTAAACAGAAGCTTATGTTTATTCCTTGATGTCTTTCCAAGTAGATCCTCTAATGTAACACTGTGCCACTCTTCAGTTAGTCCTCTTATGAACTCCTTTCTTTCTTCTTCACACCTGTTGCAATCTATTCATACATGTTTGACTGTTTCCAGTTTGTTACAGTGTGAACATAGTCCAATATGATGTTTCCCTGTTCTATAGAGAGTAGGGCTGGGTGATATGGACAAAAATTCATATCTCGGTATTTACAGGTTGACTGGTGATACACAATGTATATCTCCATTTTTTTTTCTATTAATGGGCGACATGTTTCCAGCAGCAAGTCAAAGCCACATTTGAGATGCCACAAGCAGTTTTAAAAAAAACAGACTGTGATCAAAATAAAAGGCAGAGACAGGGATTTTTTTTTAATCTGCTTTAAAATATACAGCTGCACAACAGGTAAATGAAAAACTATGTAAAATAAACAGCAGAGCTGTACATGAATGTTTTTGCACACAACACTGGAGCTACAGCAGTTTAAAGGGTGGCAGCACAGGACACTAAACTATAACATGAGTATAAAAATATCAAGTAGATCTCAATCCACTGTAGTTTGGAACAATTAAAAGTCTTTGTGGGAGGAGTTGAAAAATCATTTTCTATCTGTTGGCCTTTCAGATGAATCGAGTGCTGAAAAATGTTTTAAATCTTTTTATTTATTTATTTTATTCATCTTATTTATGCACAGAGCATCAACAGAGAGGCCGAGGGAGGAACGGAGACAGAGACACTTTGTCCTCGTTATATACGTCTTGTATATGAAACGTCTGTGTCACATGTGTGCAACTGAGGTAATTTCATTAAAGTCACAAACTGATGTAGTGTAGCACGTGTAACATACAGACCAATGTCTCACTGTAGACTAATGAACAGACAGATGAAATAGAGGAGCAGCTCTGTGTCTCTCTGACTGCTGATGAAGAACTTGGGCACAGGGCACAGAGCCCCCCCCCCCCCCCCCCCCCCCCCCCCCCCCCCCCCCCCCACACACACACACACACACACAGACACACAACAGCTGAAAGATTTGTCCCTGAACTAAAGCTCGTGTGACAAATTAAGTTTTACTTCAGCGAGAATCTTGTTTCACTAACTTAATAGTTTCTCTCCTATAGGGATCCTCATGTGTTCCTTCAGACCCCAGACGAACACTCTTTTACAACTCTCAGAACAACTGAACTATTTTTGGGTCATAATAAGTCTCAAACAACATACTAGGACTTACTTATTTTTCAGAAAGTTTTATATTGACTGAAATTCTCTGGTCTCCTTCCAATTGTCATCAGTGTACGGTTTCAGGTTCAATAAAATCTCCCGTCTAATGCCCCTTAGTGTGATTCTAATGAGACTGACTCATTAACAACACACTTGTGTTTTCTGAGTTGTTCTGCCCAAGCGAATCTTTGGTCACAAACACTGCAGCTGTACGTTTTCTATCCTGTGTGGGTTCTCATGTGTGCTTTCAAGGTCCCACTCTGTGTAAAAGATTTCATACAAACACTGCAGTGAAAAGGTTTCTCTCCAGTGTGGGTTCTCATGTGTGCTTTCAAGGTCCCACTCTGTGTAAAAGATTTCATACAAACACTGCAGCAAAAATGTTTCTCACCAGTGTGAGTTTTCATGTGTGCTTTCAAGTTCCCTTTCTGTATAAAAGATTTCTGACAAACTGAACAGCTGAAGCTTTCTCCAGAATGCAATTTCATGTGAATGCGTAAACGTCCACTGCACATAAATGATTTCCTACAAACTGAACAGCTGAAAGGTTTCTCTCCTGTATGGCTTCTCATGTGTACCTTCAATTTTCCTTTGTGGTCAAATCCTTTCCCACACTCAGAGCAGCTCACTGGTTTTATTCCTGTATGCAATGTCATGTGCATCTTCATTGCTCCCCTGTAACCAAATCTTTTCCCACAGTCAGTGCAACTGTATGGTTTTTCTCCTGTGTGGGTGTTCATGTGTTCCTTCAGAGCTGACTTGCATCTAAATGCTTTTTGACACTCGGAGCAGCTAAATGGTTTCTCTCCTGTATGAGTTCTCATGTGTTGCTTCAGAGTATTTGAGAGAGAAAATCTTTTCCCACACACAGAGCAGCTAAATGGTTTCTCTCCTGTATGAGTTCTCATGTGTTCCGTCAGATATCCAGTTCGACCAAATCTTTTCCCACACTCAGAGCAGCTAAATGGTTTTTTACCACCAATCAAGTCACTGACAGGGACTTGATCAGTTTTAAGAGAGTTTAAACCTGACTGAGGTTCTCTGGTCTCTTTGCATTCATCGCTGGCATCAGTCTCAGGTTCAGAAGACTTTCCAGTCTTGTCATCAGACTTAAGTTGTAGATGTGTATCTGGTTCTGGTCCTCCCCAGTCCTCTACTTCAACTTCTATTTCCATATGTTCAGTGTGCCCTTGATGAAGCTGTGAGGACTGAGGTTTCTCTTCATCATCTTCACTCTTCACAGGGACAGGAGTGAAAAGGAAGTTGATGATATCAGCCTCCTCCAGCCCTTGAAGCTGCTCTCCCTCCTGACTGATCCAGAGTTCCTCCTGGTCCTCTTTAATGTGTGGAGGCTCTGGGTCCTCCTGGTCCTCTTTAATGTGTGGAGGCTCTGGGTCCTCCTGGTCCTCTTTCATGTGTGGAGGCTCTGGGTCCTCCTGGTCCACACTGGAGCTCCACTCCTGCTGCTCAGGGGGAACCTCTTCTTTAACCACCAACAGCTGCTGGACGTCTGCAGGAAACAGGAAACACACAGATGTTACAGAGAAATGTTGTCGTTCATTCACATCACAGCTCAAAAACTCCTTACTGAACTTCTACAGATCTCTGAGCATCAAACAGCTTCACAGTGTTCACTCAGCTGTGTCAGAGTGAGTGAGGTTGAGCTAAGCTTTCATTTTCGCAGCAATCATTAACATCCATTGAGACTCTTGTCATGTTTGGAGGCTCCAGTGCAGCTCTTCATTTGTTCAGGCTTATGTGAATTATGTGAGAATGACTGTCCATGGGATGCCAGAGTTTGCTGTGAGTCAAGTCTGATTATTAGGTACACCCTGCTGGTACCAGGTTGGACCCCCTTTTAATTCTTGGTGTCATAGACTCAACAAGGTGCTGGAAACATTCCTCAGAGATGACGGTCCATATTGACATGATGACATCACACAGTTGCTGCAGATTTGTCAGCTGCACATCCATGATGAGAATCTCCCATTCCAGCACATCCCAAAGGTGCTCTATTGGACTGAGATCTGGTGACTGTGGAGGCCATTGGAGTACAGTGAACTCATTGTCATGTTTGAGATGATGTGAGCTTTGTGACATGGTGCGTTATCCTGCTGGAAGTAGCCATCAGAAGATGGGTACACTGTGGTCATAAAGGGATGGACACGCTCAGCAACAATACTCAGGTAGGCTGTGGTGTTTAAACCATGCTCAGTTGGTACTAAGAAAATCTCCCCCACACCATTACACCACCAGCAGCAGCCTGAAGCGTTGATACAAGGCAGGATGGATCCATGCTTCCATCTGAATGTGGTTTTTCCAATCTTCTATTGTCCAGTTTTGGTGAGAAAACCCGTGTGAATTGTAGCCTCAGTTTCCTGTTGTTAGCTGACAGGAGTGGCACCTGGTGTGGTCTTCTGCTGCTGTAGCCCATCTGCTTCAAGGTTGGACAAGGTGTTGTTGCTTCAGAGATGCTCTTCTGCACACCTTGGTTGGAACCAGTGCTTATTTGACTTCCTGTTGCCTTTCTATCATCTTGAACCAGTCTGGCCATTCTCCTCTGACCTCTGGCATCAACAAGGCATTTTGGCTCACTGGATATTTGCTCTTTTTGGGACCATCCTCTGTAAACCCTAGAGATGGTTGTGCTGAAAATCCCAGTAAATACTCAGACCAGCCCGTCTGGCACCAACAACCATGCCACGTTCAAAGTCACTTCAATCACCTTTCTTCATCATTCTGATGCTCCGTTTGAACTTCAGCAGCTCGTCTTCACCATGTCTACATGACTAAATGAGTTGCTGCCACGTGATTGGCTGAATAGCTATTTGTGTTAAGGAGCAGTTGAACAGGTGTACCTAATGAAGTGGCTGATGAATATAAATTACTTCAGTACTGTTCAAAGCTTACTACTGTCACCCCCATCACTGTTTGTATACACGTTGTCACTTTTTATACCATGTTACCAAACTTCACGTTTTTAATCTGTGAGTTTAATCTTTTAATGTTTCAACTGTATTCTCGAAATCTAAGATTTCTTTTCTTCAACATGGCTGTACTCCTTTTCCGTAGCTAACAAATCCAAACACTGACACCAGAGAAGCTAACGGCACCACAGAAGCTAACGACACCAGAAAAGCTAACGACACCACAGAAGCTAACGACACCAGAGAAGCTAACGTGGCTTTAAATCGTCGACAGACTGAATATTTATTGAACAAAGCTGCAGTTATATTATTAATAATGAACTTGTAATGTTTAATGAACAAACCCGCTCTGTGTAACCGAAGCTGAGGGTTGAAAACAGCGTCCAGTAGTTTCCGTTGTCGCTCGTTCTCCTCTTTTGATCGACAAAGTTCCTCCTCTTTCTCTGCTATCGTTCTTTCAAACAGCCCAAATATCTCTTCAGCAGCCGCAGTTAGTCGCTGCTTCAACAACGATCTCAGCATTTGGACTTTAGACATGTTTAAAAACACAACAAACACACTCTGCTAACACTTGTTTCTGCGAGACGCCATCTTGTTCACACAATGTGACGTTAGCCACACTAAAGAATACAGCTTCCGGGGCAAATCGGTTGCTGAGCTTCAAAATAAAAGTCCGGAAGTGATACTGAATTTGCAAATAAGGCGCAAAAAGTAGTGTCATCAATATCTCTGGTGCC